CGCATGATCCAGTCCAGTCGATTGTCATTTTCGATGAGGATGCCTTGTTTGGCCACACCGTACGCCACGACCCAGATGCTCAGGAGAAACATGAAGAAGAACAAATCCCTCATCTGCAGCACAAAATTACATTAGAGGGCAAAAAGACAGAAAAATAATTAACTGCAGGTAAATATCACCATCTTAATAACAATAAATAATTCATACAAGTTCTGTTTTTAGAAAATCAGACTTGGAAAATCAGATAAGGAATAAAGTCTGGAAAAGGAGACACTGGAAAACACTAATATTTTTAAAGACTGAGTACTCTGCTGAAAAAATGTCTCCAAACACCAGCCTAAGGACTACAGGGTCATAAATATCTTGTTATGTATTGTTCTAATTGTTCCCACATTTTATCAGGTTCATTTTCATTCATGCAAACTCCTCACCATCTTCCTAACTATGATGATTTTAGGTCCCAGCGTGCGATTGATGGTGAAGATCGCCATGAGGCGGAGGCAGAAGACCACAAAGTCGATGCACAGGATGATTTTACCTGGGTAGAGCAACTTGGTTGTCAGCCTGAAGTAAAAAATAATAATAAGTTGGTGAGTCATAGATTACTGAGTGGCTTGAAAGACTTTCCATGTCTCTCTGAGAGACAGAGAAAGTACCTGAATGCAAGTCCTAGACAGAACAGCAGGATGGAGATGACGTCCAAAATGTTCCACAGCTCTTGAATGTACACCTTGGCTTTCTCACAAAACCCAAAATGATCAGGATCATAAAACAGCTGAGAGAGAAAACAGAGATTCAAACTGACATGTCAGACTTTTATTATCATCAGATATTTATTCTGAATAAGGTTAAATTTCATCGCTAACCTCCAGAGATTGAATATTAAAAATTAGTTAAAAGTAACAGATACCAAATATGTACATACATCGAATAAAAACAGATTTTTTCTCACTGTCTGAAGTTAAATCTTACCAAACTTTTCTTATTTCAGGTCAATTAGAATTACCCAAATTATTGATATTCCCTCAAGGCCAGAAAATTAACAAGACAATTTTTTTAGAGATTTTTTTTGTAACTTTCCTAGAATTCAAAAGTTTACATTTGGTCAGTATCAAAAATAACTGTCTTTCAAAATATATGCCTTGGGTTAAATCTTTTGGGATTCCCTCCACAAATTTCTGATTTGTGACTGACACATCTGAACTAACTGGATTCACATCTGTGGACATATTTTAAGGCCACACCTGAAGCACACTACAGTACACCAGTTGAAGGCTGGTTTCCCGCAGTTTTTATAAATGTCTCTGTTTCAGCATAATTCTTACAAAGGCTTCAACAGAAATGTGACCATTATCAGCATCCCCAAGTTTATTTGCAGTTTTGTTTGAGATAATGTTTTTATTTTTTTCCCCAAGTTGGATATCTTCCGTTTTACATATGTGGTTAAGAGGCGCCACCTATTGGTATGGCTGCCTCAAACCAGTTTTAAAATGTGTGTTATTGACCAATGTAAGTAGTTCTCAAGTTTTATCGCTGAGTCACTAACAGCTCACTCTGTAAATTAACCCACCTAGTTAATGTTGGTAGGTCTGAGTACTTTTTAAGCTGTTGTTTATTTGCGTACTACAATTTTGTAATTTTTTTTATGCTTATGTTAAGTTGATGCAGTGGTTCCCAAATTGTGGGGCGCGCCCACTAGGGGGCGGGGGCAGCGCCATTGCACCATGAATGAGATAAAAAAAAAAAAACCTCTCAGGGAGCTGTTCATGTTTTAACCCCATTTTGCACAGAGGCTTTTTTTTTTAAATGTATTGATGATAGCAAAGGGGAATATTGTTATAAATATTCTCGCTGAATAAAAGTATTCAAAGTTATTTTCAGGGTGAGATTTTGGTATTAATAAATGGAATTCATTACTCACTGGCTCTTCTTCAACTTCATACATTAAGAACCTAGCTGGAGAAAGGATAATTCTCCAAACAGTGCCCATTATATTTGCAGCATCTCACCTGTCTGATCTCCTCACAAACCAGAGTGAACAACCAGAAGTAGAGCACCAGCTCTGCTATAGATGGAGTTCTCTGGAAGTCGACCATCAGGACGTAAGCAAACAGGAACAGGAAGGCGAAGTACGAGACGATGTTTCCATAAAACTTGACCTGAGGAGCGCAGTACAGTCCAAGCAGTCTGGACCAGCAGTTCGGATATTCCACACTCTGCTTACTGTGGGCAGAAACATCAACATCAAAGTGTCTCATTTGATCAAGAATTGCTGCTTATAAAAAAAGAAAAAATTCACTCATAATATACAACTTATACAACTCAGAGTGTTGTACAAAAATTGACAGCAAATGTTGAATAGGTCTTTAATCGAATCAATCAGAGATTGTCCTCTCACGAGCAATCCGAATTATTGTTCCAAGTGCTGTTTTTCTCTTCCTCCACACTCATTTTTATGTCCTCTTTCTGCTCGATTTCTCTCTGGAGGTCTTCATCGCATCTAAAAAGGAAAAACAGATATGAATGTGGAAAATGTGGAAATGTAATGCTTTACAACTTCCACAGTTTTCACTTACACAATCACTCCCATTAATAATTCACCTGAACGCCAGAAACTTGGTGTAGATCAGAGGGAAGAAGACCATGCAGACCAGCACCCTCCACACAGCATTGTTGACTGAAAGCTCACCACACCAGATCTGAGTAAGAAGATCCTAAAGCACAAGAGTCTTATCAAAAACTTTGAACAATACATGGATATAAGAAGGCAGACTGTTCAACATCACTGTGTGGGTCTGTATCCATGATGTTCATGCACTATGCAGTCCCATGTTAAAGCAATCTCTTTGCCCTTTTTCTCACTTTGTAACAAGACAGTCAAAAAACCTCAATGTATTTCTTTGTTTTCAATAATTGCATGTCCTAATGGCAGATGGTAAGTAAGAAGAGTAAGAAGATCCTAAAGCACGAGTCTTATCAAAAAGTTTGTTATATATGGGTGTAAGATGACAACACTGTCTTTGACTCTCTAAAAATGATCTTAAAGACTGGAGCAAACAGAAATGAGGGATAACAAGACTTTTGAACACCACTTTGTGGGTTACTGTTCATGATGTTTCACCTTATAGCCACAACTATTTCTTAAGATACGTAGATACAAAGTTGTCTTACTGTTAGATGTATGGGGCCTTACGTTATTTGAAGGGAAGAAAAAAAAACTTTCCTGTGCACAGAAACGTTTTTCTTTTCCTTCAGTGTCTCTATAGGGGCTCCGTACAGGAGAACCTCCACCCCAGTATCAGGACTTTTACAGAGATATCCCTGAATTATGTTCTATCCATCCCCCCATTATTTTCAACACTGTGTTTCTATGTCAGAATGACGAATTCAGGGTGAGGTGCAGTGTTAGTTTAAACACATGCAAATTTGCACATAGGCAAGAAGGTTAAGTATTGGTGTCACAAGAATACCTTCTGCCGTTAGTTTCCAGTGTTCAGATTACACACAGGTTGACTCTGTTTACTAATTAGGTGACTCTTAAAGAAAATTATTTAGACTGGATTTTATCTAGGGTCATTAGAATGGATTTGTATACAGTGGGTTGCATTCAAATGCAAGTGCTTTTCAGATTATTATATATGTAAAGAAAATGAACTTCCTTTTGTTTGAAATGTCTGCTTAATATGCCCTGAATTATAAAATCTAAATAAAAATCTGCTTCACCTGAACACCTAACTCAGCCACAAATTTTTTATTATCGGCCTCCAGTGCCAGCCTCAGGCACGTCGTCTTGCCCCAAAGGCGTGAGATTCGAACCAGCAGCTTCTGGGCTCGCTCCTCATCATTCTTGTAGCAATTGCTGAACACACCTAAGGACACACAGGCAGGTCAATAAATCCCAGCTCAGTCTGTAAATGTTCTCTTTACCTCTGTCTCATACCAATCGCACGATCTTCAAAGTGACTGGCGAGCTCCAGCATTTCCTGAGGCTCGTCTGCATCAATTGACTCCTCAGCCATTTTCTTCAGGATCTTACTGGCAGCCAGAGCAGCAGATATGCAGTCTCCACACTGAGCACAAACAGAAATGCAGAGTTACATGCATTAACCATTTTGAAGACACTTTCTTTAAACATGTGCAGGAGTTTTTAATCACCTGATCCCAGGCGATTTTAGAAAGCTCCTTGTTGTTCTGGACAACTGCCCAAAGGAAAAGGTCTCTGCCTGCAAGCCTCTTGGCTTCATCTTCCCTCTTGGCTTCATCTTCCCTCTCGGCTTCATCGTCCCTCTGAGTTTCAGGTTTATTTTCCTTATAAAAAGTGAGGGATTGGATTTTTGGGTTAACTGGTCAGATATACTCTATAAAACTGGAAAACATTGCAGAGTCAGTGATCTCATGAAAGTCAAATAAACAATATGTTGATGAAATAATGAATAAATTTCCTAGACACTGTGAAAACTACACAAAGAAGCACAGTTTTACTTAAATGTTCACTAGCACTGATTCACATCTAATCTCTAGTGTCAGAAATGTATGAAATATCTTAAGTTGCACTGCCTAGATATATTTATCAACATAAAGGCCTTCTCAGAAATATTAAGAAATTACACACACACAAAAAAAAAAAACAGTTACCATGTGTGGCACCTGGACCACATGCTGAACCAACTCTCTTGGCGTCCATGTTTCTCTTAATGGCGGGCTATTCTGGGTAATCAGAATCAGAATTGATTGCATGTTTAGTTTAGTTTTTTTATTTGACTATAGTTGCAGTTTTTGAGTTAAGCATCAAATGAGAAAAAAACTCATCCTGATCGTTACATCTAATTTAATCTGTAGAAAAGCTGTGAGCATAAGAAATGACTGCATTTCAGGCTGTAGCATTAATGCCTGAAATGTTACAGGAGACCAAGTGATGTTTTTTTCTGGCAGAAAAAAACATCATACAAGGTATTAACAACAGAGATGCCTGTATATTTGAGTTATTTAATGAAAGGCAATTACTTCTTATTGTAGGATTTTGTTTCCACCCACTTAAAGTTCATAATAAAACATACTCACATATGGCATGTCCTCTCTGCACGTATTACGTCCTCCACTCTTGGAAGATGGATAGATGTGCTTTGTGAATTTTCCCAGCAGGTGGCGCACTTCATTAGAGACGTGTTCCAGGGAGACTTCTTTTCGTGCTTGATCAAGACCATTCATGTCCAGTGCCTTCCTCCTGGTCCTGCTGCTGCTGGTAAATTTTATCTTCTTGACCAGCTTGTACAAAAAAAAACAGTTGGGCAAGTTTTTGTAGAGATCACAGAGGGTGTTGTCTTGCAGAAAGTCCTCCAGACACAAACCGTTCTCCAGGAGCAGACTGACAAAATCAGGCTTATTGCAAACCAGGGCTAAACGCATGAAATCGTGGAGGTCACTGGACTAAACAAAGAAAAAAAAAAAAGAATCTTGTTAGCTTGGTGGAAAACCAACCAGTTGGAAAAAGTATCTACAGGAACAGATGAATATGTAATCTGACAAGCTTATCGTTGTGAAATATGTTTCATTCTCTTTTAATACTGTGCTTGATAAAATAACTTATTTAACTGTGATTTTTTTTTTTTTTTTTTTTTTTTTTTTTTTTTTTTTTTTTTTGTTAAAATTTTTTTTAAATTTTTTTTTTTTTTTTCCCGAATTTTTTTTTAA